CCTTGGCTATGCGGCTGAATACGACCTTCACACCAAGCCAAAACATTCAACAGACAATGTAAACTTATCGAAAATCTACTAAGTTTTACATTCTCTGATTCGTTGAACCTAGATGCTCTTGCTTGTTTCACAATGGTTATGAAACATATTTTTGATTTTCTTGCTTCGTTAGATAACCATCTAGCCTCGGAATTACGGACAACTGTCTATGTGATGAGTTTTTAATTGGATCAAGAGACTAGTTATGGAAGTGTAAGAGACAAGTGATGAAACTTTGATCACATTAAAGCAACTTGATTCCATACCTTTTTAAGACACCATTGCCATTCACATCCAAGGCTTGAGATATGGATGGCTGTCAACCGTTTAGATTGTTCAGTTCTGATATTTTTATGAGTTTTGTAAAACTTTTTGTTGAGTTTTAGTCATTTTTACTTGTTGTTATCTTGTGTTTAGGTGTACTAGATGATGGAGGAAGAATTTCTTAGGTTGTTAGTCAAGTATGCATGTATGAATAACTCACTCTTGGTTGTTAGTGAAGCTTTTTAAGCTAGTTCTTAAACTCTTCTTGTGTTCTGAATTTTTTATTCAACTTGATGTCTTTCTCTTAGGCCACAGTTACTTAAGATCTCTTCTCACATCTTCGCTTTTCTCATCATTAGTAGTGACTCTTTTACTGCTTCGATTCTTTTTTTGGAGGTCGGTGAGCTGCTTCTGCTGCTGCTATGGCAACTCATCAGCAGCATACTCAACCTCCTCCCGATTTTCCTCCTTCTCTGGCCCATGAAAGTTCCTCGATTTCAGGTTCAGTCACAACCTCCACTATTTTTTTTTTGGGTAGATTCTTTTTTACTCGAACAGATTCTCAATAGTTGTCTGTGATTTCTTATTACGATGGATTTCCTACTGGTTTCTCTATTCAACTATCGCTCATTAATATTCAAGTCCACCAAATTTACAATAACTGATTCGGGTTAAACCAACTACGAAAGTTTATTCAACGTAGTAGAAAAGCTTGAGCCTTTTGATCTGTTTAGTAACCTTCTTGTTGTTGACACGTGTTTTGTTTGCAGAGGCTACGAATGAAGTAGAATAAGTTAGTAAGCAGTATTATTTACCCTGTGTGTTCAAGAACTCTGAACCGATATGGGAGGATCAGATTCAGAATGCTATAAAGTTCCTTTCCCACCCCAGAGTTAGAGGATCCCCTGTTATACACAGAAAGATCTAATCAAAAGATTGATTATTGTAGACCAAATTCCATTGTCACCATCTTTATACCGATGTAGCTCGAGGCATTATCCACTAGTTTCCTGATACAGCAGAGGACGAAGCCAAAGAGGAGCATTTGTAGCAATGTAGGATTGAACTCTAAGGTCTTGAGTCACATTGTTTGCTGTTGCTAAAGCCGCTTGGTTACGAGAGGGTAGAGTATGTTCCAGCGACCATTGACTGATTCGAGCTAGGTATCCTTGTAACTCACCTACCGAAACCGGGAGATTGGTAGCTAAGCTTGGATTTAAGGATTTATAAGTGATTTATAAGCCATTATAAAATCATCTATAAGGATTTATAAAGTCATTTATAAGGGTTTATAAATTAACTCATAAAGGTTTATAAAAGTAATTTATAAGGGTTTTTATATTAACTAATAAGGGTTTATAAATTAACTTTTTTTTGTGCACCGGTTTATAAATTAACTTATAACGGATTTTAAACTGATTTATCAGAGTTTATAAACTGAGTTTTGATTATAAGGGTTTATAAGTTAAAAAATATTTAAAAACTTTTATAAAATTACTTAAAAACATTTCTAAAGGTTTACAAACATTTATATGGTTAAATCACTTACATATTTATAAATCGTATATAAGAGTTAATAAAACATCTATAAGGTTTAATAAATAATTCATCATGTTTTAAAAATAATTTTATAAGCTTTTATAAAATCGTTTTGAAGGTTTATAAACTATTTTAAGCATTAAAAATTATTTAAGATATCTTATAAATCATTTATAAAAGTTTATGAATAATCTATAATGTTTAATAAAATCATAGAAAACAAATTAGACAAGATTTTTTGTTGACAAACGAATATAGATTATAGATTTATTAATCTATAATGTTAACAATATATAATTTTTATAAACTATATATAAGGGTTTATAAAATATTTATAAAGAATAGCTGTTTTTTTAATGAAGGATATATAAACAATTTGTTTGTTCATGACTTTATAAAGAATATTTTTTGTCTATATTTTAATCATTTGATATAGATTATTAAATTCTGGATACAATGTTATTTCCCTTCTTCTCACTCTTATATAAGTTTCCCTTCATGTAACTCATTTAGTCACATGAGTATTGGCACAAAAATCTAGGTCATTCAACGACAACCTAACCAAACTTGATTTCTATTACAAATTAGTAAAAAGGAGTAGTTTCGATTATTTAGCCGCAGAACAACATGCCATTTCATGAAAAGAATAAGACTTTGAGTTGAAAGGACTGATTTATGAAATCTTATAAACTAATTTATAAAAAAATATATATATTTTGATTTACAAGAGTGTATAAATTGATTCATAAGGGTTGATAAATTGATTTATAATACTTTATAAAACATCTATTGGAGTCCATAAGTTAATTATAAATATTTCAAAAATCTGAACGCAAGCCAGTCACATATTATACCTACGCATCAGCCCTCACTTCCAGAAACAAGTTTCAAAAATAATATGCTTATGTAGCTCAACAAACTCATGCTACATCGCCACTGTTTGTCTAGATATTCTACACAAAACACATACAAGACATGAATCTCATAAAGTAGCAAAACATAATGTTACACTACCAAAACACTAACCTTCCACCGCATATACTGTGCATACTAAGCCTTGCCAGTCACTACAACCAAAATGCTCATCACATATGCCAAGAAATACACCATTTAGTCTGATCCATCTTTCAATCTATTTATGTATTCTTCGATGGATCAATTATGTTTGCAAGAAGGAAGTATCTATAATGATTAATAAAACTATTCATTTTTGTTTATAAATGTTTATAAAATAAATCATATGAATATACACAATAGTTTTGTATATAAACCATTTATAATAGTTTATAAAACTTTTTATGAACCATTAATATTTATAAATCATTTGCAAGGATTTGTAAAAGACTTTGTCTAAATTCTAAACTATTTTTAAGAGTTTATAATTTATAAGAATATATAGAATTTTTTAATTATAATCTATACATCATTTATAAGAATATATAATATTATTTATAAGGGTTTATAAAATCATTTAGGGTTTATAGAATCATTTATAAGGACTTGTAAATTCTAAAGGTAATTCAATTATAAAGTTAAAACATTTATAAAGGCGTTTAAATAATTTATTAGGGTTATAAAACATCTATAAGAATATATATAAGCTATATAAAAAGGTTTATAAATTCTGTATAAGAATATATAAAATCATATATAAAGGTTTATAAACCATTAGAAATGTATATAAGAGCATAAAATCATTTATAAAAGGTTATTAATGTTTATAAGAGTTTATAAAATTTTAATAAATCATTTATAATTGATAAAAGTTAATAAACCATGTATAAAGTTATATAAACCACTTTTAACTATTTATAAGGGCTTATAAATTATTTATAAACCCTTATAAGTCATTGATTAAGGTTTACGAATCCCTTATAAGAGTTTATAAATCATTTCTAATGATTTATAAACCATTTATAAGTGATTATAAATTATTTATAAAGATTTATATATCATTTTTACAGAATTTATATATCTTTTATAAGAGTTTATAAATCATTTACAAGAGTGTATATATCATTTATAAAAAAAAATTATATATCATTTATAGATGTTTATAAATGTTTTATTAACATTTATAAATCATTCAAAAACTATGTATTCAATCTAGTAACAAGCGAAAGTTTAGATCTTCAAAGAATTCTATGTGTGTCTTTTGTGATTGAAAATACTTTACATTTTGATGTAAGGAAGTATCTCACTATAGCCCTCAGTCATCACCAACCAAACACAACAATACCAATAGCTATAACAAGGAATTTTATTCCATCTCGAGATAGAAAAAAAACCGATCTAGCTCTAATCAAAACCAGAACTGAACTCAATGAAAACATAAGGAAGAACCATTTATAAATTATTATTAGTTTGTAAATCATTTATAATGGCTTAAGGTCATTTATAAATTATTATTAGTTTTGTATAAGGCTTTATAAATTATAAAATTATTTTTAAAGTCTTTGTAAGTGTACATTAAGTTTCATAAAGGTTCTATAAGGGTTTGTTAAATTCTTTTAAGTTTTATGAAACCATTTGTAAGAGTTAATCTATGAAAGTTTATAAATCATATAATAAGGATTTAATAATGAATAAAAAATAAATTTATAAAGGCTTCTAAACCCTTAAATTAGTTTATAAGCCTTTATAAATTATTTTATAAACTCTTCTAAATTAACTTATAAACCTTTATGAATCATTTTATAAGCTTTTTATACATTAGCTTAGTAACCTTTATTAAATTAGTTTATAAACGTTTACAAATCAGTTTACAAACCTTATATAATGATTTTATAAACCCTTATAAATTAGTTATAAATTTTTATAAACTAGTTTATACGCCTTTCTAAATTAGTTTATAATCATTGTATAAGTCATTTATACTCATAGTTCAATAATTACTTTGTAAACCTTTTTAACGTCATAGAATGATATGTCTAATTTTCCATAATCATTCTAACTTTTACGAATGACGTGTGCATCATACAAGAAAATAAAGAAACATTGCATGATTTAAAATGAAAAATGGTCGGAAGAGATGACATATGTTCTACAGAGTTGGTGAATACTAGAAAATGAAAAAGTTGTCTCAAGATGATTCAAAGAGAGAGGTCAAAAAATCAAATAAGAAACTTGCAAACCAAGTAACTGCTTTTTCTTCTTCTTCAAAGAAGAATAGCTACGTTTGATGGAAGCTCCTCAACAACCACATTGTAGAATTTCTGAATATCAAAAAGGATTCTCTCATCATCACAAGTTACAAAGTTAATCGCCACACATTTCCTCCCAAACCTCCCACTTCTTCCAATACGGTGAAGGTAGTTCTTGAAGCTGGAGATGATCCAACCACTGCTTTGCCTAAAGGACAGACAATTAATGTCAGAAGCAGAGATGATGTCTCAGCTGTTAAAAAACCTGGTTGATGCTCTGCTTAGATACACTTTGTCTTCTCTTTTTCTTTCTTGTATTTTATTTTTATTCAACATCAACATTTTCACTAATTTCTTGCACATTTGTATACATACATTCTTGAAATGGACAGACGAATAAAGTTCACACTCACGTTTTTATCAAGTTTCTACTCTACAATCGCTTGCTTTGTTGTATCACTTTCTCTCTGCTTCTAACGGTCGATGATCCTTGAAATGTAGATGTGCCATTAAAGATGCACCACCTCTCTCTCATGCTGATTCCGCCATCTTCAACTAAAACAACCTTATTCAGTTTAAAGGCTGAGCGTGGAAGCCAAACAAATATGCTTTGAAATGCTTCTTCTTTCAATTGCAATATATGTCTTGTTATGCAATACAAACTCCTCCTATGAAGTTTGAATTTAGTTATACAAACTCATTTATAAGAATACAAAATTATATGTGAGAGTGAGACATTTGACGATTGATAAGTTAATTATAAAGGTTTATAAAACCTAACATGATAAAACCCAACTATCTGCTCCATTTCCAAAAACAACCAGCGATCACCAAACAAAACACAATAATAAAAAGATACAAATACATTTCAGACATAAAACCTAACATGATAAAACACAACTTGACAATCTATCTTATAGTCCACTTAAGGACTGCAAGTTTTTAGCTCCAAATAGAATGATAGTTCCACCATATTTATCGTTCACTAAAGGACTCTATGCAAGCTTTTTGGCTTAGTTCCACCATTTATCATTATCTAACCTAACTTTCTGACATTTCCTATATGTTGCAGCATCCTTAAAGCTACACGCCAGAGGCAAGACCATGAAAAAGTATAGTAAAATCAGAGTCACTGACCAGAAGAAGTTGCAGAAAACACCAAAGTATTATCTTTGGTTTAAAGACAATCAATCCCCAACAAGAACAAACACACTTGTTTAAAGATTAGAGCTTTTACCTCCCCAAAACAATGGTTTCACATCTTCTTCTTCTTCTTCATCATCATACTCATCACCATCGGGTCGACAACAATGGGGAACCCAAACCCATTAGCTTCCTTCTCTCCGCCGGAACCCCGCCGCGACCTCCGCGCCTCGCTCACATCGAAAGCCCAATTCGCTTTGCAGAACAGCTCACCGCTCGAATCTGTGCCAACAGCGAAGGGTAAATCAGATCAAATCCCGCGAGCTCCGATGAAGCAGCATCTCAAAGTCCATTCCGATCACTACTCCGATCAGACACCGATCTTGAATTGCGCCGCGGCCGCTTCCTCGCTACTAAACAAAACTCCCCTCGTCGTCTTTAGCATCGAGGAGGAAGATTAGCTTTTTAATTAACTAGGGGTAGGATGGTATTTTCCTATTAAAATTTTAAAGGTAAAAGTGATAAGTGTAAAGTTAAAAATGTGTACAAGGAAAGTGGTTATTGGCAAATTCCCAAAATAAAATTGTCCAAAAAAACATATTTTTTCTCCTTAAAATAGTTCTACTCTCATAAAGCTAATTTTACTTAATTTGAATCCTAATTAAAAAGTTTAAAACAAAAAAGAATCTTATCTTATTCTAATTTTTTTTTAAATTATTATTAAAAACATATTTTTCCTCCTTAAAATATTTCTACTCTCATAATGCTAATTTTACTTTATTAGAATCCTAATTAAAAAGTTTAAAACGAAAAAAGGAATCTTATCTTATTATAAATTTTTTAAAATTATTATTAGAATTATTATTAAAATAAAACGATTTTGTTTTAAAAAAAGGTCAAAACGAAAAAAAAAAAAGAGAATTTTCTTATAATAATTTTTTTATAATTTTATTAAAATAATAAGATTTTTTAAAATAATTTATTAAATCTTAAAATTAAATAAAAATCATATTATAATAAAACGATTTTTAAAAGTCATAGTAATTTAAATTTTAACAAAACCTATTCCAAAACCGAATTGTAATTATCCTTTTCAAAATATAAACCAAAAAAATGAAAAATAATGTTTTATGCTAATTGTTCTTTATAATAAAGAAAAATAATTTTAAAAAGAATTATATAAAAATTACATTTTTCCTTTTTAAAATATTTCTACACTCATAATGTTAAGTTTCCTTTATTCAAATCCTAATTAAAAGGGTCAAAATGAAAAAAAAAATAACAATTAGATAGTAATTATCCTTTTAAAAAACCTTAAATGTTTTCCTACTCTCATAATAAAAACAAATTGTAAAAAACATATTTTTTCCTTTTACAAATATTTTTACTCTTATAATGCTAATTTTCCTTTATTCAAATTCTAATTAAAAGGTCAAAAAAAGAATCTTATTATAATAAAACAATTTTTAAAAATTTTATTAAAACAAAAAGACTTTTTAAAATACTTTATTAAAAATAAGAAAAATCTTATTATAATAAAACGATTTTTTTTTAAAAAAGTAATTTTAGTTTGGGAAATTGCTAAAACTAGCACTTTGATGATACCCTATTTCACTTTTACATTAACCAACTTTACACTCAAAATTTTGATAAGCAAAAGACTATACTACCCTTGATTATTCAAACATAAGCCTAATCGTTCAAAGTCTCTTTTCTCCATCAGCAACGAGATTCAGACGACTCCGGCGAACCATAAACCTATTCGTTCTCCATCTTGTTTCTTCATCGCCGACGAGAGATTCAGACTCCGGCGAGATTCAAGGACTCTGGCGAGATTCTCCGGCGAGATTCAACGATTCTGGCGATCCCCCTGTGTTATTCAACGACTCCGGCTAAATCGACACCCAGATTTACATCAATCGAAGATGAATAGCGTTGGGACGAACGATCTAGAAACGGCGGCAAAGGTACAACGATTTTCTAGCTTGATTTCTTAATCTCGTCGAAGAGCATATGCATAACTGTGTGTTTATTGCTGTTCTGGATCAGTTTCTGGGAAGGAGATGAATATTATTTCATGAATTTTATAAATCTCTTATTTATAAGGCTTTATAAATATTTTATTAGACGAACACAACGTTTCTTTAGCTTGATTTCTTAATTTCATCGAAGAGCATGTATATAACTGTGTTTTTAGTGCTGTTATCGACCAGTTTCTGGAAAGGAGAGGAATATTTTTTCATGAATTTTATAAATCTCTTATTTATAAGGCATTATAAATATTGTATTAGACGAATTTTTTAATGTTTCAGGGTATTATGATTGAGATTTGTGTTGTTTGCGGAGAATGGAAACTCGTAAATGGAAATCACTGGGATTTCATAATCGACGATGAAATAGGATCTTCCATTAGTATGATTCCTAAAGACATTAGGTTCAATGATTTAGTTGGTTATTTGCTTGAAGATTTTGATATTGACACCAACAGAAACAATGTGAAGCTTAGTTATCCATCTCTTTCAAAAGTAAATTTTGGAAGTAGAGATATTCCTCTAGTGTTTATCAGGAACGATCGACATGTTTCGACGTATCTGAATAAACTACAACAAAATGGAGGTCTTCATCTATGTTTAACTGTAAAGGCAAGTACACATATTTAGAAGGCTTTATAAAACTATTTTACATGATTCATTTACTAACTTTATGTTTTTATGTTTCAGAAGGAAACATGGAATGAAGTTTTAATTACCCATGATTGGCCAAATGCTGGAGGAACACAACTATCACCATTGATTATGCCAAACCTGACTCAGACACGTGATGAATTGTCCAGTAATCGCAATTCGCCTATTGCTCGAAGTAGTAGTGCATTTGAGGTACTGTTTTATCTTAATACTCATAATTATAAGGTATTACAAATTGTTTAAGAAAGTAGATCTCTATCTAATTTTGTAGCGAGGAACACAATTTTCTCCTTGAGACTGAATGTAACAATATTCAGAGAGTTGATGAATTATCAGGAATACGACATAATCATATTTAGAAGGCTTTATAAAACTTACAAGATTCATTTACTAGCTTTATGTTTTTATGTTTCAGAAGGAAACACGGAATGAAGTTTTAGCAGACGCGTTCAACAAATTTTGGGAGAAGAGTCACATTCTTTTTCAGAGATCTCGTCTCCAACTTGTGCTACAAATCAATGTAATGACACTGATGAATTGTTCCGCGGGAAGATTTTTAAGGACAAAAAGGAAATGAGCACGAAGTTGAAGTCGCTTGCAGTTAGTCAAAGTTTTGAGTTCCGCACAGAATATTCAGACAGGAAACGATATATTCTTACTTGTGTGGAAGAAAAATGTAGCTGGAGTTTTTGTGCAAAATCAGTGAAAGGATCTCAGATGTTTGTTGTGCGTCATTATGTATCTAAACATGCATGTGACACTTCTCTGAGAAGTGTTAAACATCGGCAAGCTACTGCGAAACTGTTGGGAAGTATGGTCAGCAATCATTATGAAGGAGGAAAAATTGGGCTGAAACCAAAACAGATCATTGAGAAGGCTAGAAAAGATCATGGTGTTTTGATTTCATATTCAAAGGCTTGGAGGTGTCAAGAGCATGCCCAAGATCTAGCTAGGGGTACTCCTGATGACAGTTATGAAGCTTTGCCCAGCTGGTTTCACATGTTAAAAGATAAGAATCCAGGTTATGTGACTTTTATCGATGTTGATTCTGTTGGGAAATTCAAATATGTCTTTTTGTCGTTTGGTCCATCTATCAGAGGGTTTAATCTGATGAGGAAGGTGATTTCCATTGATGGTGCCCATCTGAAATCAAAATATAAAGGGACTCTACTTGCTGCCACTGCACAAGATGGTAATTTCCATTTATATCCTATAGTTTTTGATGTAGTTGATTCTGAGAATGAAGCCTCATAGAGTTGGTTTTTGATGTGTTTGAAATAAATCATTCCTGATGAAGATGACTTGGTATTTGTTTCTGATCGTGCTCAATCTATTGAAAGTGCTCTTTCACAACATTATCCCCTTGCCCATCACGGAATCTGCATGTTCCATTTTGAAAAAAAAAATGTCCTCGACAAGTTCAAGAGTTCAATCGTCACCCCATTGATTGTTGAGGCGGCTTATGCATACATCAAGGAGGATTTTCATTATTATTTTGATGAGATTGAGCAAGCA